GTGGTGCTGGGGGATTGAACCGCGGTCCCTGTGCTTTGCTAAGCTTGTTCTAAGTAGGTGCTTTAGACCACTGAGCCATCTCACCAGCCCCAGAAAAGGCTACATTGTGGTGTAGTAACACTGACTCCCACATCTTAGTGACTTAAACCATCAAATTCTATTTTCTACATTCAGTGCATGCCCATTGTAGAGTGGCAGAGTGGCTCTTCCTATCAGTCACTCAGGGCCTCAGATTGGCAGAGAAGATGCTGGATGCAAACACAACAATGCTTAGGAACATCTCACATGGACAACTAAGCACTTCACTTAGAAATGACCCCCATTACTTCCGCTTACAACTCATTGGACAGAATTAGTCACATAACTCCACTGAATCACAAGGGTCCAGGAAGCATAATCCTCCCACGGCTCTGAAAAGAACTACTCGTTTAGTGAAAACCTATCAACAATGACTTCTAGTTTCTACCACTTGAGGATGGAGGACAATAGGACAAATGTCAACAGAAAAGTGGGCATAATGACCTCTGCCCTATGGATAAACATCTCAGTGTCCTCAGGGATCCGAAATCTCAAATGGCTGAGCATTAACTGTGACCAGTTTTTACAACAAATAGGATTTAATAGGGGCATTCCACAGCAGAAAGCCTATTCCTCTAAATTTTCATTATTCACTGTCCCTTGAACTTCATGAGAGATTTAGAGTTCTAGAGATTCCTGTGATTCATCATTATTAGTGCAGATGAGTGCTGCTATTGCTACCTTCCTTGGTCACTGATCACCAAACATTACCTGGACAGTCTGCTCCTGCGCTATAAAAGGAAACATTTAAATTAAGGTTTAACTGGAATAAATCAATTCTGTAAACCCTTCCTTACCTCTGTTGCCACCTTCCCTTTAGCTAGCTTGAATAATGGTAAGCTTATATTCTACATGCAATCAAATAACCTTTTTCAACATTTTTTTACTCATAGCCTAGCATTTCAAAAAAGTAATATGCATGTAGCCTTACCATCATCATCATCATTGTAGTACTGGGGATTGAACCCATGGTCTCACCTTCCTGAGTAGCCGAGATTAAGGGCATCTGCCACTGTTCCTGACCTATTAGGTTTCTGTTTTCCAGACAAGGTCTCTATGTGTAGTTCAGGTTGGTGGCCCAGACTTGCCTCCAATTTGTGACGTTCCTACTTCAGCCTTGCTTGGGCAGGAATTCCATGCCCAGATCATACTTTTAATACTGACACTGGTTTGTCTTCCTTCTACTGCTGGGGATTGAACCTAGTGCCTTGCTCATTCTTGGTAGGCACTCTATCACCAAGCTACATCCCAATTCTTTTTAAAATTTATTTTGAGCCAGGCATGGTGGCACATGCCTGCAATCCCAGCATTTGGGCGGCTAAGGCAGGAAGATGACCATGAATTCAAGGCCAGGTACTGAGGAAATATCTGTTGAACAATGTTAGAATGAATAAATGCATGGATGAAGTTAGTGTAGAATAAAGGAAAAACTATGAAATTCTGAGTATTTATATGGTATCCAACATTAAAAGGGAGAAACCCTTCTAAAGGTGCCTGTTTTTATGATAAAGTAGAGAATCATTTGGTAGAAGGAATAAAATGCTGTTTTAACAAGAAAACCCTAGGGAAAGGTGTGTGTGTGTGTGTGTGTGTGTGTGTGTGTTGATAGCTCATGACAAGAACAAAGGTTAGTTTGGAGACCTATGAATAGATGTGGCAACCAGTCAGTAAGTGGGGAGAGATGCTTTAAAGAGACCGTTAAGGATTCTGTTCTTTTCTCATCTCCATTAGTAATAAGTGACCTCTTGTGGTTTGAGAGTCTGGTCAGGATTTATGAATCAAGCTCTGCTCAAGGCGGGGTCAGGGTGAGAGCAGGTGTAATTTGGAAGGCCACCTTTGCTCGTTTACAAGGACCATTGATCAGAAATCTCTTGCTGAAGGCTGTATTTGGCAGGCTATGAGGAGAGGGAAATACCAGTAAGTTGTAGGACTACAGCCACAGGAAAAGTGAGGATGATTTAATATGTTCCTTGTGGGAAGACAGTGGCTCTCAATCCGTTCGTGTAGCCATTTGTCTACCGGCATCACCGGGGGGACGCTCCGGACTGTACTTAACGACTGATCCTACAGGATGAAGGGCGGGATCACTGCAATCTGGTGAGAAGGGAAGGATTGTTGCAAGCCAGGGAGAATCCAAAGCAGAGATGACATAACTGAAGACCGAAGGAGGCTCTTACCAGGTCTTAGGCGGGTCAGTAGAGACCCAGCGCCGTAACAACTGCACACTCCGCGCGGACGCCCCACCCGTCCCACTCGGCTTCTGGACCTCGCCCCGCCCACAGCGCGTCCTTCCGGTGCCCTCCCAGGAAGCCGCAGCCACAAGACGCAGGGCGGTAAGCGTGACCTACGAAGGCCCGTGCGGCCTTCCAAAGCCATCCCTCTCTAGCGACGGCGGGCTCGGGGGTGCGGCAGGGAGGACCCTTATTTTTCCCGTCACCTAGCCTTATGCCGCAACCACCTCCCTCGCGAGGGCAGAGGATGACGTCATTTCTGGTTCACGTAAAGGTAGGTGACAGCCGGAAGTGACGTCATCGCACTAGGCTCAGGGGAGGAGTCACGCCTGGGCTTCTGGGTGTTTGAGCCTTTCGTCTTGGGCATTTTGGTAGCGTTGGCGGGTTCAGCAAGTGAAGGATGCTGGGTGTCTAGTTTAATTTGAATTTCAGATAAGCAGTAAATAATTCTTACATATATTCCAAATATTGTACGGGACATATTCATATTAAAAATTACTTATCTGCAAGTCAAATTGAACCGAACTTTATGTATTTTTATCTGGCTGTCTTATTCTTAAGAATCCTTCTGTCCTGCACTCGGGGATTTAGTCGCAGAGCTGGACTCCTGTAGCGTAGGCCTTTGTCAGAAGTATGTATAGAATTCCCCTTGGCTGTAAAAATCAAATGTTTTAGGTACCAGCATGCTTTTAGCTCCAGACCTGCCTGGCAAGCTCCAGGGATCCCCCTGGCGAAAGCGTGGTACATTTTCAGTCTCCGTGGCAGTGGCCCCCGTGTTTCCTTTCACAACAGGAATCAGGCAGGGCTAATATTTTATAGGAAGTCTGAGAACCAGGCTGGTAAAACAGCCGGGGTCTGGAAGGTGCCATACTCCTTGTGTGAGGGATAAAGTAGCGTTCAGGGTTCTCTTAAGCCTGAGCGTGTCAGAAGGCAGTGCATCAGTCTTTTTTGTTTTTTGGTATTACTTGGGATTGAACTCTGGGACCTGGGCACTAAGCTACATTCCTAGACCTTTTAAGTATTTTTATTTTGAGCCAACTTCTATGAACAGCTAAGTTGAGCCTGGGTTCAAACCAGTGATCCTTCTGCCTGAGCCTCCCACAGTACTGGATGACAGATGTGTGCCACCAAACCTGTCTGTCTCTGTCTCTGTCTCTGTCTCTGTCTCTCTCTCTCTCTCTCTCTCTCTCTCTCTCTCTCTCTCTCTCTCTCTCTCATTGCTAGGGAGTGATCCAGGGCCTCCAGCATGCTAGATAATTGTGCTTATCACTGAGTCTCAGCCCCTCTGAGTTTAATCCTGAAAACAAACAAATAGTAGATGTCTTTTTATGAGAAAGAGCCTCTTTTTGGCCTTAATGTATCTAAATCCCTCTAGAGCTTCCTGACCTTCACCCGAAGTCTACCCTAGCTTTTTGTCTGCCCAGTGGGTAAAATGACCATTTGGGCTGAGTTACAGGAGCCTGGCCTTTGCCTGTTCTAGCCACTGGGCTCACACCACTTTGTGTGGTATAACTCAGGACTTACTGTGCTGTTTCAGAGCCAGAAGGGGTGTACTTGGCAGGATTGGGTCTAGCTAGCTATGTGGGTAGAAGGGCACCTTTTCCTGTCCTGTAGATTGGGCCCCATAGCACAGGGCCTCATGTGGGACAGTCTTTGCTGCTACTCCTGACTTTTATTTTATTTATTTTGTAGGACTGGGGATTGAACGCAGAGCCTGTGCACTGAGCTAGATCCCCAGACCCTCTCTTTGTATTTTTTTACTTTGAAACAAGTTCCGGCTGAATCCTTACGTTGGCCAGACTGGCCTTAAATTTGTAATCCTTCTTCCTCAGCTTCCTAAAGTGCTGGGATTTTAGATGTGAGCTTCCTTACTCAGCTCACATCTATTCCGGATTTGTACTGGCACTCTTGCTGGACTAAGAGATCTGGGATTCCTCAGATTCTGTCCTCTGCGATGAGCCTGTACCCTTGCCACACAGACCCAGCATTCCCAGGTTTCCCAGCCTAGTCCCAGGAGCTAATGAAAGAGCAGACTGGAGGTGAGTAGGCTTGAGGTCAGCTGGTGGGGCAATCAGTAGCCCCCTGGCAGCAGAAGTGGTAAAGAGGCGAGGCATGAGTGCCAGCAAGGGCATTGCCCTTGGTGGAGCTGAGAAGTGTAAGAGGTGGAAAAGGGGCGGAGCCAGAGCCTGCTGGTGGGAATTGCTCCCTTTGTGAATGATTAACTCTCAGCCAAAGAGGTGACTTAGGAGGAGGGGCCAGGAACTTTGGACTTGGGGCATGAGTATCCAGAAGGCCAGCGAGCGATCTGCAGAAGAGGAGTACTTGCTAGGTGGTGGGACTGGGCTCCAAGGACTGGAGTGATATCAGGTAGAGTGTGCTTTAGGAAGTCTGTTTGACCCATCAGATGGCTGTTCTTGCAGGCGGCCATGGGGTCTACAAGCCCGCAGGCCTTCGCGGGATGGCCATAGGAGGCGTTCTGCTCCTGGTCTCACTTGTGCTTTCTTCTCCCAAGCAGCCATGGGTACGTGGTGATGCTGAGAGCACAGGGGCATGGCTGCAGCCCTGCAGGTTCTGCCCTGTCTGTTCCGAGCCCCCTCACGTCCACTCTTCTGGGGGCACCCCGTGGCCCGGCTGGCCAGTGGCATGGCCTTATCAGAGCAGGCGCGACAGCTGTTTGAGAGTGCCGTGGGTGCTGTGCAGCCAGGCCCCATGCTGCAAAGGGCACTGTCCTTGGATCCTGATGGCAAACAGCTGAAGGTGCGGGACCGGAGCTTCCAGCTGCAGCAAAACCTGTACCTTGTGGGCTTCGGCAAAGCTGTACTGGGCATGGCAGCCGCAGCGGAGGAGCTACTGGGCCATCATCTTGTGCAGGGTGTCATCAGCGTTCCCAAGGGGATCCGTGCTGCTATGGAGCGTGCTGGCAAGCAGTAAGGAGCCATGGGGGGCTGCTCCCTACTGTCCTGGATTGTCCTTTCCTCATCAGCTGTCCTTTTCTCCTGGGCTGGTCTGGCCCTAGAAGGAGTTCAGGGAACATCCTTCACATATACAGCTGAAAAATCAGGTGGGAGGACAGGGGCCCACCACATCTCTTTCTCTGGGTTTCTTTCCTCCTCAGGGAGCTACTGCTGAAGCCACACAGCTGTATCAAGGTGTTTGAAGGTGCCGAGGACAACTTACCAGACCGTGATGCACTGCGGGCTGCGCTGGCCATCCGGCACCTGGCTGAGGGTCTCACAGCTGATGACCTGCTGCTTGTGCTTATCTCAGGTTTGGGTGCCAGATTGGCTCAGGACAGATGACAGGGCTGTGTTCCAAGTCCGTGAGAAATTGATCGGGGCCCACAGAGTCACACAGGGTAAAGTGGGGAGAAATGAGGCAGTGGAGACTGGATGGTGCCTGCTAGGGAGCTTTGGGCCAGTCTGTCTTCCCCTCAGCTGTGGGTGTTCACCCCCTACCGACCACGTTGGGCGATGCTGAGAGGGCACAAAGGGAAGGCACACCTGACGCCGGCCTCTAAGGCAGGGCCTAGCACCTTAATAGAAGCCGTGGAAAATGTTTCTCTAATGCTGCTCTCTGTACCACTGTCACCCAGGGTGACAGAACCCAGTCTCCAGTCCTCAGGGAGCCCTCTCCTTGGCATTCTGCTTTTTTCTTTGCTGTTTTGCATGTTCCAAGCTCTTCATGGATGGTTAGCTCGTCTGGTGCTGGCAGGGACCTCATGGGTGCCCCATGGCTGGGGTACCCTCTGGTGGCCCAGGCATAGCGACTGTGCACACACTAACATGTCCACATGGGGGCACCCTGATCCCACTCTCTCAGCTCATTTTCTTCACAGGCATGTCCGCTGCTGCCTGGTTTCTTGGGTTGGGAGATCCCCTCTGTCTGACTCCCTTACTGACTATGCAGGTGGAGGCTCAGCCCTGTTGCCTGCTCCTATTCCCCCTGTCACACTGGAGGAGAAACTGATGCTCACCAAGCTGCTGGCGGCCCGAGGAGCTACCATCCAGGAGCTCAACACCATCCGAAAAGCCCTGTCTCAGCTCAAGGGTGGAGGGTTGGCCCAGGCTGCCTACCCTGCCCAGGTATGTGAGACTTTTCTTCCTCAGGCAGCACTGGGTTCTCCACATGTGACAGACAGGGAGGTGATATTAGCATGTAAGATGGCAGGGGCTGCCAGGTATGGGGGTCACACAGCCGGGCTAGGGACAGTCCCTGGAAGGGGCCCTGGGGAGAGAGGGGAGGGTGTCCTCAGGGCCAGGTGTTCTGCAGTCCTCCCTGAGAGTTGTTAAAAGTGGGCAGGGAGGCTGGACATGGTGGCACATCCCTGTGATTTCAGCATTCTAGGAGGCTGAGGCAGGAGGCTCTCAAGTTCAAGTCTAGCCTAGGCAGCTTAGTGAGACTCTGTCTCCAAATAAAATATAAAAAAGGGCTGGGGACATAGCTCACTGTTCAATTCCTAGTACTGTTAAAGAAGGAGGAGGGGGGGGGGGACTGGTGAGATGGTTGGGGCTGGTGAGATGGCTCAGTGGTCTAAAGCACCTACTTAGAACAAACTTAGCAAAGCACAGGGACTGCGGTTCAATCCCCCAGCACCACATGCCAGCCAGCCCTGCCCCCTGGTGGGCTGAGCTGGCCACACACACACACACACACACAAATAAAAAAAAAAAAAAAAAAAAAAGGAGGGGGAGGAGGGGGAAGAGGAAAAGAAACAAGCCAGTTTGTCCTGTGCACTGTGGGGTGAGAAGGTGGGATTGAGCCTGGTGCTGTGGCCCTTTTCAGGTGGTGAGCCTGATCCTGTCAGATGTGGTGGGGAACCCTGTGGATATGATTGCCAGCGGCCCCACTGTGGCCAGCGCCCACAATGTGCAAGACTGCTTGAACGTCCTCAATCTCTACGGACTTCGTGCTGCTCTGCCACGTTCCATAAAGACTGTGCTTGCTCAAGCTGACTCTGACCCCCGTGGGCCACACACCTGTGGTCATGTCCTCAATGTGATCATTGGCTCTAACGTGCTGGCACTGGCAGAGGCTCAGAGGCAGGCCCAGCTGCTGGGCTACCGGGCTGTGGTGCTGAGTGCGGCCATACAGGGCGATGTGAAAAGGGTGGCTCAGTTCTATGGGACGCTAGCCCACGTGGCTGGAGCCCACCTGGCTCCATCCACAGCTGGGCCCTCTGTGGAGGAGAATGCAAAACTCCGTGAGCTTGCAGCTGAGCTCCAGCTCACAGACCTGCAGTTGGAGGAGGTGCTGGCAGCTGTAGCGGAGGCTAAGGGCCCAGTGTGCCTACTGGCTGGTGGGGAGCCCACAGTGCAGCTGCAGGGCTCAGGCAAGGGTGGCCGGAACCAAGAGTTGGCCTTGCGTGTTGGAGCAGAGCTGGCAAGGTGGCCCCTGGGGTCTGTTGATGTACTGTTTTTGAGTGGTGGCTCTGATGGGCTGGATGGGCCCACTGATGCCGCTGGGGCCTGGGTCATGCCTGGCCTCACCAGCCAGGCTGCTGCTGAGGGGTTGGATGTGACCACTTTCCTAGCCCAAAATGACTCGTACACCTTCTTCTGCCGCCTGCATGGTGGAACACACCAGCTGTACACAGGAATGACAGGTACCAATGTCATGGACATCCATCTCCTGTTGCTGTGGCCTCAGTGATGAAATAGGTCCAGAAAAGGCCAGAAAGATGAGAGTGGGGCCCTAGGACCTGGTCATGTCTTTGGGCTCCTCTCCTCCTCAGCTCTGGCTTCTTGGCTGGCCCTCCCACCTCCCACCTCCCACCTCTCTGTTCTGTGTTCATTCCCCACAGTGAGGTTTGTAGATGGGAACTTTCCTGCACCTTTGCTTTATGCCATGGAAGCAGGCAGTCCTGAAGTCCAGGACAAGCCTGTTGGCCAGTTCTACCCTGTGCCATCTCCTGGACCAGCCCTTCAGCCTGTTGCTTCTATGGAGTGAATCTAGAAGTACTGTAAATAAAAAGGACCACATTGGGTTTTCTGTACCTCTTTCCTTGGTGTACAGACTTGCAGGGAGCTGCTGGGGAGGGGAGTGTTGTCTGTCTGTAGCCATGGTGCTAGAACCCAACAGGAATTTCCTGTGTCCCTCAGCTGGGCACACACGGCTCATGTCATACAAATGGGAGGCTGTGTTTACCTCTTTGGATCCTGGTTTCCAATAGTCTCAGTCTCAATGTGGGCAAGCAGAGACAGGCCTAAAGACTGCCACCAGCCAACCATGACCTCGAGCAGCATCCTTGGCACAGCCTCTCCAACTTTCTGTATGCTGACACCCCTTCTGTATTTGGGTAGCCCTTAGCTTTAGTTGAACTGCACTCTATTCTACTTCTTAGCCCTCTGCTAAGAGCTTCTTTATCCAGGAGCTTCTCTATCCCACAAGCCACTAGACCTTGTTTTCCTGTTGCCAGCTCCATGCTCCTAGGCTGAACATCACCAGGTCCTTCAGCTAACTCTGGGACACAGTTCAGAGCTGGTGCCAGCCCTTCAGTGGGGTCTTCAAGCACTGCAACAGTACAGTGCTTCAGAGCAGTGAAGGGGTCCTTCTGTTAGAGCTGGTGAGAAGAGCAGCAAGTGAGAGCAGAATGCCCCCTTGGGCTGGCTGGCAGTCTGAGTTGGAGGAGGTGCCACCAACCTGGCTCACTTCAGATTGTCTCGCTCAGACGCATAGCCCTCCGCTGGCTATCCTCGCCGTGCGCCACGGCTCCAATCCCTATATGAGTGAGCAGTAGAATCACATAGGAATAAAAAGCCATAGAGAACAGCGAGGCTGGGGCTGCTCCTGCGGACCACAGGAGGATGCAGGGTGCTCTAGGCCAGGGCTGGTGTGGCTTCTTGGGAAGATCCTCCTTTCCCCAGTTGGGTTCTGCACAATCTAGTTAGCAGGGGTTCATGATGTGGGACTTGGTTCATGCAAAGCAGGCTGTGGGGATCAGGAGGGAGGCGAGTAAGGTGAACTAAACTTGGGGCCAGGTGGGTTGAGAGAAGGGAGAGCTTGTGCCACTTTTCTTTCTGTCAGCAGTGACCTTGACCAGAATTTCAGGCAAGGGTGGCTGGAACCAATCAGTACCTCACACATGAGTACATGTGCTCTGGTGGTCTACCCATCTTTTGAGATGTGCCCTCCCAGCCTCAGCCCTCACCCTCAGGAATTCATTGGCACAGGATGCCAAGTTACAGGCAAGGCAGGGCAGGAGGGCTGCCTTCAGCATGTGTGTGCTTATGGGAGCACAGGATGCTGGTGTTGGCATGGTGGTTGTGGAGGGCATCTGTAATGGGCAGGCACGCTAGGTTGCTGGTGGAGCACATGGCATCGTCTACAGCTGCTGAGGGCTTTGCATGTGTGAAGGCTCATGCTGGAAGCTCCTTTTGGCCTACCTTGGACCCTTTCCTATAACTGCATTGCTATGGGGCAGCCCCAGTTGGCCCCATAGAGGCATACAGTTTGGGGGCTTATCCCATTGTATTTGCCCACTCTGGCCTCTGAAATAACAAAATAGATATTTTTGGTGAGTGTAAATGATAGATGCATCCCTACACTGTGCATACTCAATCATTACTTGCTCCACAAAAGTTAATTATGAATCATTACGGTCCTTCCCTCCTTTCACTTTTGGCTTTTGGCTTTCTTGGCTCAGATTCTTTCTGCCCTTGTACCTATTTCATCTCTATACCCTGAATCTTTTGCCACAGGGCGTGCCCAGCCCCATGTCCACTTCAGCCTTCACAGGCCCTCCATTCTCAGTACTTTGCATGGGCTGAATAGTGCAGAGCTCTGTGGGGACACTTTACCCACACCACTTTGTCTTACAGCTGGAGAGATAGAGAAGGTGGTTAATGGGCTGCACAGCAAGCCAGCCACAGGCCCAGAATGAGAACCTGGTTAGGACTTGGCTTCTCCTCCTCTGCCACGCTCTAGGGTACAGGCTCTCTGGGGCTCATCCAGAGCCACAAGATATATTTTGACCTGCAAGGACTGCAGGATGGTCCCCTGGTCATACTTGGCTTCTCTAGAGATCCAAAAATCAGATTCATCAGCCTCTGCTTGGCTTGGCCGAGCAGTTCCATATTGATTTCGTTTGACACCATGTGCAATTGAATGGTGGGGTTCTACATAAAGATGTGTGTCTGCAGCCACATGCATGTCTGTGTGTGTAGGCATGGGTACATGTGTAGCAGTGTGTGTGTGTGTGTGTGTGTGTGTGTGTGTGTGTGTGTGTGTGTGTTGCTGCCCAGGACTAGTTACTGAGCAGCCCTTTGTCAAAGGAGGCCTGTAGGCTGGCAGAGACTGGTTGGCAAAGGAACTTGTGTTCTTGCCAGAAGGAGTTAGTTAACTCCATTCTGATAGCGGTGGCAAGTCCCAAGTCCCATGAAGCTTTTGTCAAGGCACGATGCCATCAGTGTGTTTCAGGACTTTGATGCTGAGGGTACCTTACTACAGGGGTGGTGATATAGGAGTAGGGGGTGGCAAAGCTGGCTGGGAACATGTGACCTGTCAAGTACAAGATACTAGGACAGTGCCAAAGAATTCCCAGGACCCCATGTGTGGAACTTCTCATAGGTTCCCGCGAGAGGAGGACGACATATATGACACAGCCTGAGGAGCCCACTACCGTGATCCTCACAGTATCAAGTTGGCGTCGCAGAGCATGCTTTAATCTTGCTTTTGTCCTTTCCTCTCTTTGGTCAGCCTAAGCTTTTCCTACTGAGTTAGTTTCTTCCCTCATCCCTATACCCCTCACTTTTCTAAGAAACTTCTGGAACTGTTTTTGGCTTGTCTTACCCAATTCGTTGTTCGAGGTAAGAAGGACCTGGAATATATTTAATTGGTGAGCCATTTATGAAGGAAGTACTTGACACCAGTGAGGGATGAAACCTCGTGAAGGTCACAGGTGGAGAGATATGGATTACATTGCTCCAAGAGCCTACTCTACTTCCCTTCTAAACCCTAGCCTTCAGCTAGTCTGGGTGCCTTTTTTTTTTTTTTTGCAGAACCGGGAATTGAACTCAGGGCCTTGTGCTTGCCAGGCAAGCACTTATTCTATTGAGCCATCTCCCCGGCCTTTTTTTTTTTTTTTAATGTATTTAGTACAGGGTCTACAGGGTCTCATTACACAGATCAGACTTATAGTGATCCTCCTGTTTTCAGCCTCCCAAGCACTGGGATTACAGGCGCACACCACCACACCCAGTCTCAATAGCTGTCTCAGCTCACCCTGGGGGCAGGGCCAGCGTGATACAGTCCCTGAGTCTGCCTAAGCAGGCACTTTTATCCGCTGAGCTATCTGGCCAGCTCTGGGTGACCTTTTAGAGAGGTATTATAACCTTATTTTTTTGGTACTGGGGATTGAACTCAGGACCTCGCACTTGCCAGGCAGGCATCTATGCTGCTGAGTTATCTCCCCAGCCCTGGGTGACCTTTTAGATGCCCACTTTGGAACAAAGTCTGGTAGCCCTGGCTCAAATAACTCTAGGGGTAACAGCCTTTCTGGTTCTGGGAATGCCATTGGGAGCTTGAGGAGAGAAAGAGCATCTGGTGGATATTTTAAAGTATGTAGAGTCTCGAGACACATGTAGGATCTTACTGAGCTGGTAGTTAAGAAGCCTGGAAAGAGTACTGGAGAGGTAGTTAGGTCTTAGGTCCTTGTCCTGGCTCTGCCACTTTCCTTTCTCCCAGCCTCAATTTTCTCCTCTGGCTAATGGGAACAACATCCCCTGCCCACTGTTTTTTTGTTTTTGTTTTTTGTTTTTTGAGGGATTGAACTCAGGCCCTTGCACTTGCCAGGCAAGCACTTATTCTACTGAGCCATCTCCCCGGTCCCCTGCCTACTGTTTTGCAGAGGGGTCTGTAGCAGGTGGATCTCTGCAAAAGCTCTGTTTACATGGGAAGCTCAGGGAAAGGGAGAAAGAAAGGAGAAGTATTGGTGTCTTCCAAGGAGAACTGCAGGAAAATCTTGGCTCAGAGGAACCCAGCTTGTTGCCAGGGCCAGGGTTAGAGCCAGCTGGGTGGTGGTGTTCACTGAGGCTGAGTGAGCAACTCACTGCCCTCTGGCTTTGGGCTGACACAACCAGGGAGTATTGTTCCTGTTTTTTTTCCCCCCAATGTTGAGGATTGAACCCAGGACCTTATACATGCTAGGCAAGTGCTGTACCATGGCTCTTGGGTATTTAGTCTTTAATGGCCAGGAGGATGCATGGTCTATAGTAGCAGTCGAGGATGGATGGGCATTTTCACTGGAGTTAGAACAAGCTGACCCAGCCTGGAAAAACATCACCTCATACCTGAAGAAAGTTGGGCAGCCTGCTGCCCTCTGGATCTGAATCCTGTGTCAGGGACACAATGAGGCCCAGACTGGAGAGATGAAGAACTGACCTGGCCCCAGACTGAGAATCCCTAGCTGAGAGGATCTGGTGTGTGCATGGGCTTGGGGACAATGACATCTCCTGGGTAGTGGGAAGCCAATGACCTAGGCAGGCTGCCATGCGAGGTGGAGCTGGCCCTGTAGTGAGCTGTGCCCAGCCCAAGCAGGGTGGCCTTTCTCCCAGCATCGGGGCTGACTTCTGGTCAAACCCCTCCCTAGGTCACCACTACAGCCAGTTCTGAGGCTTTGCTCATTCAATTTTCCTGGCTCAGGACGGTAGTGGCAGGAGGGGTTGGGCCAGGGATGGACATTTGGCTCTGCTCCAGCTCTTGTGGACCGATCTGTGTGATGCTGCACCAGAGGGCTAGGGGTTGTAGAAGTGGAGTGGCTGCTGCTATGCTCAAATGAAGGGGTTCTGCCAAGGGCGAGAGAGGGTCAGCCCTTGGAAACACGTGCTTTAGCTGCGGGGTCCTTAGAGCAACCATTGCCCTTAGCAGCTCCGCCTTGTGGGGTCACGCCCACCACCAGGATCAGACCACCACCGGCTCCTGGGGCTGCCCTGCCCAAGAAGCCTGGCATCAGTCCCTAGGATGGACCCACAGAGAATATCTTCTCTG